TCCAATAGGCTTGTGTGCGAAAATCGGTCCAACTTTTGATTTTTTCTTACAAGATAAAGCCCTTTTTTCAACCCTTTAGCCACCTGCAGCACTCAAGCTTTTGATTGTCCGAAGCTAGGTTTTTAATAATTAATCATTTAGTGAACACGGCTTGCATGGAAATATGAGCAACAGACACCTATTGTTTCGGTTAAGGAAAATCGAATTTTCCATATTTTATCCCCAGGGGCGACTCGTGAATTTCACTTCATTCTACTCAACATCGAAGTATTTTTTAACCCTCTTCGAGGCTTGTATGCGAAAATGGGGCACCTAAATCTGTCACTATCTAACGGTCTATAAGAAGCAGTTGGTGTTTAGCTGCGAAAAGAGTTGATATATTATCTAGTATTTCTGGTGGAATTTATTGCTGCGAAGATCATTTCAATGTAAGTAAACTTAGTTGCCAAATTTCATTTTATAAACACCTATTTTCTGTCTTACATTATTTCAAAAATATGAACATTATATTATGTTTATAGATGGAACCAGATTGTAATAACTGATGCAGTTTAGGATGACAAACTGCAAATTATATAAAAAAAAATGTGGTTCCACATATCAATTTAGGCAGAGTCGGAGTTTGTGGAGAAGCTGAATAAAAGAATTGCCAGCTTACGAATCCATATTGAGAGAGTGATACAAAGATTGTGAGAATTTGCAATACTCGAAGGACATTCCTGCATTGACCATCAGCTTGAGGCAAAAACTGATTATTTAATAATTATTGCTTGTGGAATAGTGAATTTGCAGGGACCATTGATCAAATAAATTTTATGTTAAAGCTAGAAAAAAATGCTTTTTGAATACAGGGTGTCCCACGGTGGATGGCGTATTAGACGTTTATGGAGAACTAAAAAGCGAATCATTTTGAAAATTTGGCAACCGGGATAAACGACCATGATCTACACTTTAAAAATATTTTTGACCATGCGGTGTTGCCGCTTCTACTCTAAACTAGTGGCAACATCACTATTTTAAATGGAACACCCCGTATTAAATTGCATATTTGGATTCTACGTAAAATTCTAAGCAGATTTCATGTGATATACCCTATACCTAAGTTCAACTGTTTTGGAAATATTGACAGTTGAAAATTGACTTTTTGCAACTTTGACAGGCTGTAAAACCTAATTGGTTAATTTTAGAGGAAAACCTATTTCACATTCCTATCTTAGATTTTGATAAACTATCATTTAACACCAACTTTGAACTTAACCAGAGATTAAATTTAACTGAAATTTTTAATCATGGATTTAATTCTAAGTTGGTGTCAAATGATAGTTTATAAAAATCTAAGATAGGAATGTGAAATCGGTTTTCCTCTAAAATTAACCGTTCAGGTTCTACAGCCTGTCAAAGTTGCAAAAAGTCAATTTTCAACTGTCAATATTTCCAAAACAGTTGAACTTAGGTATAGGGTATATCACATGAAATCTGCTTAGAATTTTACGTAGAATCCAAATATGCAATTTAATACGGGGTGTTCCATTTAAAATAGTGATGTTGCCACTAGTTTAGAGTAGAAGCGGCAACACCGCATGGTCAAAAATATTTTTAAAGTGTAGATCATGGTCGTTTATCCCGGTTGCCAAATTTTCAAAATGATCCGCTTTTTAGTTCTCCATAAACGTCTAATACGCCATCCACCGTGGGACACCCTGTATATTGTATAAAAAAGAATACATATTGTTTTTTTTACAGCCAAAATAGTACATTATATACCTAGGGACTAAAGTGGTACTTTTAATCCCAAAGGGAGAGCTATAATTTGTTGAGGGATTAAAAAACACTTTAGTCCTGAGGTGTATACACTATTTTATGCACTTAAGGGATTAAAAATTAAAAGGGTACTTTTGATCCCTCTAAAGTACATAAAATAGTGTATACATCTCAGGACTAAAGTGTTTTTTATTCCCTCGATTTTGGAGTACCCTTCTATTCCCTGTTTCATTCACTCCATGGGAAATAAAGTAAAAAGTTAATTCCTTGGGAAATAAAGTGAAATTTAATCCTGGGGATTAAAAGGGTACTTTATGCATAAATAATGTAAAGAAGAAAACTACCAGACTCCCAAATCAATTATATATTTTTATTCAAAATGACTGAAAATACATTTTTCTTCCAAAATTCTTTAGCTGATTCAATAATTACTTTAATAAACCTAATGTTTAAGTCTAATTCAAAAATTGTCACTTCATTATTCTCTCCAAATTTGGGACTTGCCACACAAAATAGTCCTTTTTGTCTGTTACACAATAACATTTGTAACTGAAGTTGGCACATGTCTTTCCTCATTATATTTCCATTTTCCTTAATGTAGTTTTTCACAGTCTTCTTCTTGCTATAGGACATTGAACTTCAATCACAACTTCTTTGCTTATTCCATCTGGCAATGCTCCTAACAGAGGATATTCTGCTGTCTCTTTTTAACTGCACATACTCAATAGCATTGTCACAACAATAACTGGCTCTCGCTGACCTAAAAATATATGAAACTATAAAACTGTTACCCTGTTACTAAAAATGTAATATAATATTGAGCCAAAGCTTAACCAATACAATATTTCACTACCCACCTTTCTGTTTTGACTCCTCTTATTTCTGCACTTAAATAATCCGTATTTTTGGCAAAAAAACTCTTGCAACATCACATAATTTAATTAGTTCAGGTAAATTTTCGGTGGAGGCTTTAATGAATCCGCTATCCATCTTCTCACATAAATCGAACAAATAAACGGGTGAAATAAGTATTTATTTTTTATTTTATAAATCAACCAGACAACAGGCAAATCAAATCAAAATAAACTAAATAACTGACATAACCTCGAAAAGAAGACAGGAGATGCGCCAGTCGCAGGGTAGCCAACTAGACAATTAGGAAATTTTGTCAGTGATGCAAACTTAAATTTAGAAATACAATGCGCAAGCTCGCCTTGTGACGTCATAATAATTTTAAAAATAACGAATAATTGTAAAATTTCAAATTGAAATATAATATTATTCAAAAAAATGCGGGAAAAAAACAATGAATAGTTTTTGATGTGCCTAATTCAATAAAAAAATTTAAAAAAATCATGAAACGACTCTATTAGAGAAAAAATCAACGGTCAGATAGAGAAGAATGTGGCGTGAGAGGTTGATTAATATTTTTTCGTCATACTGTACTGTTTTGTTAGGTACCTATCTTACTATAACCATTGAACATAAGCCGCCGGCCGTTATTTATCCGCGAGCCAGTTGAAATATAAATAACGGCCATCGCCAGCCGTTATTTTCAAACATACCCCTATAGGAAAGTGTTTTTTTTTTGTCATATTGAAAAATATCGGCAATATGAAGAAAAATTGAACGGAATACGGCCGATAACTGCAAACTGTAAATAACCTTGCCTTAACAAACTTCAGCCCGGCCGTTATTTGCTATTTATCAGCCTTATAACGTTAATAACTTGTTGTGGAAACAGCCAAACAATCGTATTTATTTTTTATGATCACAGTGGCAACGTTGGAAAAAAGCCCCCCGCAACTTTGCCGCTGGCGCCATACCAGGCTGTACTGTATCGATCCAGTCTGGTTCTTGTCGCTAAGGGAAAAAATGCATTCCTTATCTTTTTCACATCGCAGTGTGAATTTTAGCAGTGTGATTTTAGTAGTGTGGTTTCACTAGCAGTAAATAGTGCGTAAAAACGTCTAGCTCTATACAAGTTTGAACCTGCTCACTTTTCTCCAATTATTTAATTATTCTCTCTAGTTGCACCCTTGTGCAGTCTAAATAAAAAGACTTATTTTTTTATCTCTATGGCTGCTGGCTTGAAAACTCAAGTGATATAATATCGTGTAAAACATTGAGTTAATCACACTCCCCTTTTTTAAGGGCTCTCTAAAAATATAAAAACTCTCAACTCCCGAAGATTTCTATTAAGAATAAACTTTATCTTGTGCTCTCAATTAAAATATTAGCGTTCCGCTAATACTGACAATTATTGTTAAATTGACTATTGAGCACTTAGCAACTAGTGAATTTATACCGATTAGTGAATGTTCTCGAATAACTCAAATGCGACTTGTTAACTAACCTGTGAATAATTAAAAGTACTTGAATGTGGTTACAGTATTTATTACTTTATTAAACGATTATTTTGGCAACAATAGAGAGATATAAAACTGGAAGTGTGAGTGCATTATTTAGCAGTGACATTCCCATCCCCTTTATGATCCAGTGATCTATCCCTAAATTAAATGTTGACACCTCAGTTAGAGGCCCTAACATAACTATTTTAACCTCTGTAACTACGAAACGGTTTTGGAGCAAAAATTTCCAATAACGGAGCAAAATGAAACAATATTAGTAGTATAAGAATCCACAGTCAGATATGGAAAAAGAGTATTGGGGGGGGGGGGCTGATTAATATTCTCCAAAACTCTGTAACTATGGAACGGTTGTGGAGCAAAATTTTTCAATAACGGAGCAAAATGGAGCAAAATTAGTAGAACAAGAATGCACAGTCAGAAACGGAAAAAAAGTGGAAGGGGGGGGGGCTACCATTAACTTTGCCCCCCCCCACCTTAAAATCGTTATAGTCTCTAAAGTGTAATGGAGCAAAATTTAAAATTTATGAAGCAAAATGGAGCAAAATAAGAGCAAAATTATAGATAACTTTTCATCTAAAAATTTCTAGTAGGGGGGGCTAACTTAACTGACCTGGATAACATTACCAAACTTAGTAGGGAAAAACCATAACCAATATAATCGATCAACAACAATCAAATGAAATTTTATTCGCACCCCGCAAAGCGCCTATCTTAAATCAGATCTAAGTGTTTTTAGTATAATTTAGACTATATTTAACAGCAAAATAACGCGTTATCTCAGATATGTTTACTTTAAACCTACGAACATTACGCAGATTTATATATAAAAGAAGCTCACCAATTCCTTATCCAGTTAGTTACATTGAAGCACCTGCTTCAGTATTAACGTTTGTTAATTCTACGTTAAAGGCGGATATGGTCCTTTTTCGAGCTACCACTTTGAAAATATTTACCGATATTCCATTAGAAAAATTAAGTTTGTTTATTTTCATTAGGAAACTTTTAAAGATTTAGATCTTCTTTTAAACATGGGCTTTAGTAAACGGTTTCTTTTGGATCTTGCACCACAGGTTATTGCAACATTGCTGGGTAAGTTTCTTCTTATTTCATATAGATACATGTATGCTTCCTTTTCTACATCTTTGCTCATTTTTGTTTCAATGCACATTAGCTCTATATTCGAATCCTGTGAGCAATAACTCTTCCGGTATCATAAGAACAAGATTCATTGAAGAGTTTTATAAATTAAAACAAGCACTTTTTCTCAAGTTTTCGCATGGAATGACTTAAAAGAGACAAATAGAAATATGTAGATACACTTCAAATTTGTTTGGTTACCAAGATAAGAAAATCATAATTGATTAAAAAATATACCTACCTACGCACAGCTTTTGTGCTTTGGATTTTATTTGTAGCTGATCGTAGAAAATCCATATCCGTAACGGGCGTAAAAGAGGAAAAAAAAAAAAAAAACACTTCCAGTCTGGAAGAAAATGTTCTAATTGACTTGAAATATTAGTGGGCCCCCGCAGGGCTTCACCCAAATAGGGGCCCTCGCGGGGCTTTGCGCACTCATATAGGGGGCCTGCGTATTTTTTATGGGTAACGCGAAGGGCCTCAAACACCATTTGAGCCTGTGGTACATGCCAAATTTCATGCACGACCAAATATTATTTTAAAAAAATTATTGAAATTCAACTCTAAGTCAAATAATAAGCAAAACTGATGGTTACTGGTTATTCGTAGTAGAAACTGCAGTTACCAACATACCAACCAAAAAAACATTCAATAATTCATCATTATCATTTTGGTTCGAAAAGTATCATATTGCTCCCGCAAATTAGGGAGCAAATATAGGTGCTTTGCGCCCAGTCGTCCATAAATTTATTTTTACAAGCAAATATGGCTCCGACTGACTTATTGAATTGGCAGCTAAATTGTAAAAACTTTCTACAAGTCAGTAGAATTATTTATTTTAAAAAAATCGAGTTCATAACCAAAAAAATTGCTTGTAGGTACTTTCTGGAACATTTTTCTGCTGATAAACTGCATATCTGCCACAAAAATTGTGAACAATAACCTGTAGTAGTTATACCCACTACGGCTTAATTGTATGAGAAAAAATTCAGAAAAATAATCTCCTGGACTAATTCTACCATCATTCATTTAATTCATAGTTTGACAAATATAATCCTAATTTGTCATTCATTTAATTAGTTGTTTGCAACGATCTCTTTTTCGGATAAGTTTTGCGCTGCTGACTTTTTCATCAATTTAATTTAATATCAGAAATTGAAAACCTTGACTTTTACACAGAAAAAGCAATTTATAGTTTTTTCTTCATAACTAAGCATTTTTGAGAAATTTAAGCTTAATCCTGTCATGTCATGATAATTAGGTATTGAGTCTTTAATCGACGATGACATCCGTGAAAAGGAAAAAACAAGTCTGTAAGAACATTTTCCAGAAAATGTAGAAAAAACAATATGCACATATTGTTCTAATTTTTAAGGTTCAGATTAAGGTTTAAATCTCTAGAAAAACATAGAGCAAGATGGGAAACTTTTTGTGGATGAAAATAGGGTTTGTTTTATAATTTCAAATAGATACTTATTAAACTTATGAAAAAGTCAGCAGCATAATTGTAGGTTTGTCGAAAAATAACTCATCAACATTTTCCAGCATCAAGTTTATCATAAAAAAATAACTACTCTACAAAACTTTAAGCAAACTGCTTTCTGGAAACTAACCAAAAACAGTAACTGGAGGTTATAAAATTTATCGAAAACACTCTTAATTATGGAAAAGTACTCGCACATAAAACAATAAATGTGACGTTTATCTTAACATAGTATTTTATTTATAAATCAACCAAACACTTGGCATGTTGTTTAAATTAGGCCAGACTTATTGCTTTATTATCTGCATAAATATAATTTTTTCCAAATCATTTGTGACTGAATATTGTATTAAGGATGTTCTCCTGTAAGGATTGTGAATAGGGATCAATAACGTGAGCGAAATTAATAGGTAGTTATTTATGTATCAAGGGAATTATGAGGGTGTTAACTGTTAATACCCCAGGGCAAAGTTTGTGGGTATACCCGTGGGTATTAACACCTGATAATTCCCTTGGTCCATAGAAATCCTTAACGCGGACAATATATTAGAAAAAATTTAATAGATACCTATATCCACTAATACTTCTTGAAATGTCTTCGAAATCGGGTAGGCAGTTCATAAGAAAGAATTGAGTCATTTTTTATTTTTTTGAATTTTCCAATTCATCCTTGAGGTGAGGAAGTTCCACATATTATGAAACATTCTGTAGATTAAGAGAAGCTTATCACAAATAAGTATCAGGAAGTGAAAAATTTCCATTGAAAAGATTGTTTCATTTGAAAAATTATATTTATTTATCATAGAAGCGGAAATATTGAAGGCCTTAATAACGGATAAATGATCTAACCTTGAAAAAGGGCATGTTTAACCTTCCCTTAGTCGCGCCCGGTCTGTGAGACCGACCATACACTTTTTTTCGTGGTATTCTGGAAATAAAGGTAAGAGCCACCTCCCCCTCTATGTATCTTCTCAACGGTTCACCACGGAACATCAGTGCTAATGAGAGTGTTGGAAGTTGTTGTTTTGCCGAAAATATTTAGTCCTACGGTGTATATGTGCTTAAATCATATTATTGGAGTTTGTCAGGAATGCCGAGAAAATACTCTTCACTAACTTTGAACATGTTTGTTCAACTTCATCATAACGTTCTAACCTCAAACTTGTCATATGTGTTTATTTTCGTTCTAGAAATAAATGCTATATTTTTCGATAACTGAGCTAGTTTAAAATTGTTTTTGGTCAGTAACTAATGAACTAGTAGTGCGCTTTGTGGACCAGTTATTGGTTTTCGTGGTTATTTTGCTAAAGGTGATTTTTGGTGCATTTTATTTTTTGAGGTTACTTTTCTGAAATGAAACCTTGCCAGAAATGTATAAAGCCGATCAGCGATGATCAAGTAGAAAAGGCTCCTAGATGTGACAGCTGCCGTGTATTCTTTCATCTTGAATGTTCAGGTCTCTGTGCAAGCGAGCAGAGGGCTATAGTTGTCCAGAGACGAATAATTTTGTTCTTCTGTGAAGATTGTATCCTTTCATTCAAGAAAATACCTCTACTAACCAATAAATTTGTCCAACTTGAAGAGCAAATTAAATCCCTCAAAGAGGAAATTGAGGTTATCAAGCAGCAAAATCTTCAAACAGTTGGGGCAACAGATATTCCAGCAAACATGGATGCTGTGATTTATGAAATGCAAAACAGGGCTGATAGGGCCAATAATTTGGTTGTCTATGGAGTTCCGAAATCAAATAGTCGCAGTTTACAGCAGAAAATTAGTGACGACAATACAGCTCTTTTGCCTCTTCTTAATGATATTGAGCTTGCTCAGGATGATATTGTCAAAGTTTTGAGAGTGGGTAAGGTATCTGAGGGCAAAACTAGGCCGTTAAAATTAATAACTAAAAATCCACGTGTGGTGAAGAATGCAGTGGCCAGACGTAAGAGGATTACAAACAACAACATCAAAATAAGCTTCGATAAGACTAAGCTCCTGTGACGGAACTAGCTATTACCCTTTTGTGGACTCTAGTCATTACCGCACCAGGGATGTCAAAAGTTTTTACTTTGACTGACTGTAAAAATTAACCATTAGGTGTTGGATCATTTAAGCCTTGTATTGAACTAGGGGTGCCTTGATTCTCATTTATACAAATAAAACGCTGAAATAGAATAGTTATCAATTTAATTAATAAATGAATTTAATTCGGTTTAATCAGCAATCAAATCCTATCTAATAATTCCTATTTGGACGTCCAGTCGAACTACAAATTTTATACTAATCTAAAGTAAATAAGCGAGTAAATAAGTATCTTGATTTATAAAAAATAGTGAAATTTCATAATAATAATATCATTTATGGTTGAATGTTCAAAGAACGAGAACACAAATTAACTAATTTAAATTTACGAGAGCACAACACAAATAATTCGTGAACTTCAATCAGCTCACTGTATTCACAAAATGTTTATAATCCTTGAAGGTTCTTTTGTTTATTGAGAGTTAATAATTTGAGCACTTTTCTGCTGAAGTGTGTAAACAATAAGTGCAAGAAAAGTCTATATATATATGCTCAGTTTCTATATACAAATTTACAAATTAATGTTCATTTCACGAGTGTGAAAACCAAATTTCTGTATTAAAGGTTAGAACAAACACTTCAATTTATAGTGCATTTCAACCGAATCGGTATTCAGTATTTATTAATTTATTGTTCGACTGTTTTGAGAAATTGAAACGGTCTTACTTGCTTAATCCAGTTCATACCGGTAAATCCATATAGTGATTATTTATCCATTTATCACTATTCGTAGTAATTTGCACTGTCAGCTAAGGGATTTTCCACTAAGAGAGAGAACACAATGATATACAGAGTTGAAGCCCGTCGAGAGTGAGACAGGAATAACCTTAAACAGGCGTAGTAGAGAATTTTGCTAGGTCCGAGATGACTTGCAACAATTTAGGGGTTAATTACATGAATTGTAATCAATAATATCGTTGATAATATAGGCCATGTCAGGCCTTGAGACACTGGGAGTAGTATTTTACTATAATTCGCGTACTAACGGGGGTTTTCTAGGGGTTTTTTTCCTCTGTAGAGCGTTCAGAGGCGAGAGGGTGCAGAGTCTTTGCTTACTCTTCTGCTTCTTGATTACTACTGTTGTGTACCGTGCGTCGAGTCGACTGCCTTTTTCGGAGCAGGTCGCATAAATCAGGGATGTTGGGTGGCAACTGACCAATCACAACAACAAAATAGATCCATTGCTCATAGGGTAATGAAGAAATCTGTAATTTTACCGATTCAAAAGGGCTGCTGTTGCCAGTTTTACAGGATTCTTTTTTTAGAATATTATTTTTATGATAAATAATAGAAATTGAGATTATATTGATAAACTACAAATAATAACATTTTAAACTTGTTGTGGGTTATTTCCGCAACAGCTCCAACAAGATCAATTTAAAGCGACCTTGGCAGACCTACGCTCTCGGGAAGAAAAAGGAGAGTCAGATTTGATTATTAAATTTATTAATGGAATCCCCACTATTAGCAAAAAGCCTCCACCAAAAAACTAAAAACAACAAGTACAGTATCAATCTATTACCAAAATTTGGGTGGTGTACGCACAAGACTTGACCAGCTGCGTTGTGCAATATTACAATGTGATTATGATGTGATTATTCTTGTTGAAACTTGGCTAAATGACGAGTATTCTAATAATGAACTTTCAAACTCAAACTACCAAGTATTTCGGCGGGATCGTGACTCTCAAACTAGTGCAAAGTTGCGGGGAGGTGGAGTTGTAATTTTAATACGGAATCACTTTAAGGCTAAATTAGTCAAGACTGAGGCAATGAATATAGAGCATCTCTTCGTCCAGGTGGATTTTCAAGCTGGTTCATTTATGCTGGGTGGGGTGTACATTCCACCAAACTCTGCAGAGGACATCTACATTTCCCACTGCTCAGCAGTGGAAAATGTTAAAAATACTAGACAAGAAATTCCTTTGTACTTATTTGGTGATTATAATTTGCCACTGGCTACATGGGCTTATTCTTTGGATGATGGTCTTTCAGTGGTGTGTCCCCAAAATTATCCAGCTAGAGTTTTGGGTGAATCCTTTTCCTATCTGGACCTCATGCAATCAAATTCTATTCCGAATCAGCATGGTGTATTTTTGGATCTCATTTTTGGTAGTGTTAGTGACAACCAAAAGCTGTCTGTATACCAAGCAGTTGACACTCTGCTCCCTAATAACTATCATCACGTGTCAGTTGCCTGTGATATTAATTATTCTACTAGTGTTCATCAGTTGGACTATACAACCACATATTTAGATTTTAGAAATGCAGACTTTGTTGGATTAAATAATTATCTTTGCTCGGTTGACTGGGAGAGTCTTTTTGACAAATCTAATATTAATAGTTCTACAAATAATTTTTATGAAGTTCTTTTAAATGCCATATCTTTATATGTTCCTAAAAAGACATTTAAACCTTCGAAGTTTCCTCGTTGGTTTAGTCCAGAATTAAAAAATCTTGTTTTGTCAAAGAAGGCTGCACATTTGAAATTTAAGCAGGGTCAATTGGCAACTGATTATATCTTGTTCTCCAATCTTCGTGCGCAGTGCAAAACACTGACAGATCAATGCTATAGATCATATATGGCTACCATTGATGATTCAATCCGTTCTGATTCCAAACAATTCTGGAATCATGTCAACTCCCTTAATAAGAGTCATGGGATTCCCAACGTGATGCATCTCAATGACAAGTCTGCTGAATCAAGCGAGGAAATAGCTAACTTATTTGCAGAGCATTTTTCAAGTGTGTACTGCAATAATAATGTACCTTTTAATAACTCTGAATCTCCACCAAACAACTCACTCAATATACCTTTTATTCAGTTTAACCTTTCCGAAGTTTTTGAGTCAATCATGAATCTCAGGGACAAGTTAAGTCATGGCCCTGACAGTATCCCTAATTATTTTTTAAAAAGATGTGTCTATAGTCTGTCAAAACCCTTAAAAGTCTTATTCAATTTGTCTTTAACATTACAAACTTTTCCTGATAAATGGCGCGATAGCTATATAACTCCCGTACATAAAAGTGGCGACAGAGATAATATCAAGAACTACAGACCGATCGTAATGCTTTCTTCTATTTCTAAACTTTTCGAGTCAATACTAAACAAACATCTAACATGGCACTGTCAAAATTTTTTAATTGACCAGCAACATGGGTTCCGTCAGGGAAAATCCACCTCTACCAATCTCGTCTTATATCATTATTACATTGTCAGGGCCTTCGAGAGCGGTTACCAGGTAGATTCCATCTATACAGATTTCTCGAAGGCCTTTGACACGGTAAATCATACACTTCTCATTTCTAAGCTAAGATGGCATGGGTTCCCTGAGTGGTTCCTTTTGTGGGTAACTAGTTATCTGGGTGGCAGGGTTCAATTCGTGAACATTAGAGGATCAATCTCAATTGCCATATCAGTTACTTCCGGAGTTCCACAAGGCTCACATGTGGGCCCCCTCCTTTTTAATTTATTTATAAACGACATTGGTGACATAATAAAATTTTGCAAGTTCTTATTATTTGCTGACGATCTTAAATTATATTTTAAGATATCAAATTTGTCGGATTGCTTAATGGTCCAGGAAGATCTAAATTCCCTTTATGATTGGTCTATCGCTAATGATCTTCATCTGAATAAGGATAAATGTTTTGCTATATCCTTTTCTAAGTCAAAGGATCCAATTAAATTTTACTACCATATCAACTTAGATTTTCTTCAAAGAGTTAATGAGATTAAAGACCTGGGTGTAGTTTTTGATTGCTCCCTGTCTTTTATCCCCCACATTAATAACATGTCAAACAAATCCTTTCGTATTCTTGGTTTCATTACAAGAAACTCTCGAGATTTTTCAGTATCGACATTTAGAGTACTGTACTTGACACTGGTTCGTAGTATCTTATCCTACTCTTCAATAGTATGGTCTCCTTATTATTTAAATCATATCTACACCCTGAAAAAGGTGCAAAACAAATTTCTCAAAAGTTGTGCGTGGAAATTAAATTTGCAAAATTCATCAATGGTAGAGATAAGATCATTGCTTAATCTTGATTCCCTTGAGGATTATAGAACTGGATGTGACCTAACATTTTTATATGGATTACTTAATTGCCATATTGACTGCTCTGATTTATTAGGCCTTATAAATTTTAAATGTAGTAATAGAATTCTTAGAAATATGCCATTGTTTACAATTGAAAACCATCACACAAATTATGGGAAATATTCTCCTGTTAATAGAATTCAGTTGTTGGGAAATTATTTTACCCAACACCACTATGAACTGATTGATATTGGGTTTTCAAAGTTTAAACTTTATGTTAGTAAATATATTAGAAATATAAGGTAAAATTCCTTAAGTAGTAGTCTATATATTTCTGTTTCTTTTTCTCTTTATTCATTTTTATAATATTGCGTAATAGAGATATTATTTTTGATTTGGTTAGAATATTTTTACTTATTGTAAATTTTTGTTAAAATGGGGACAACCCGTATAAATAAATAAATAAAAATAAATAAATAACTTTTTTTTAGTGTAAAAGAGCTCGTGAAAGAGTTATATTTTACTCTTCGTATTATATCCTGTTTTTATTTTCTGGATGTGACTAAATAACGTGCAGTAGGAAAAAAAGCACCATTTTCAAAGATTTTGTGGTAAATTTGGAAAAATTGGCCAAATGTACCTACTCCATTTTTTTTTTCTCAATCATTTATTATGTTTGTTAAAACATCCCTACATGTATTTTTTGAAAAGTACATTTCGCTATTTATTTGGGGGTT